CACGCCCTCGATCCGGGGGACGAGGCGGCCGAAGTGGCCCTCCCACCTCCATCGGCCGTCCAGGTCGAGGCCGAGGTACTTCATCCTCTCCCCGGCCCGGACGGCCACGTCGCCCACCCGGATTCAGGGCTGGGGCGCTCGCCGCAACAGAGGCAGTCCATGGAATAAGACCACCTCCGTCTTGGGCGGCGATATCCGCAGCCCCAGCGCCTGGATCCTCCTGGCCACCCCGGCCACGGCGACCTCCACCATGCGGCAGACCCTGGTCCCGTCCCTCCCCATCCCGATGATGACCGTGTCGTCCGCATAACAGACGACACGCACCCCGGGGGGGAGGAGCCCGCGCAACGCCGAGTCGTACCCCAGGTTCCACAGCAGTAGGCCCAGTACGGACCCCTGGGGCACTCCTCGGCAAACCCTTCGTCGCACCAGCGTACCCCCTCGACGGGGGTACTCGATCTCTCTGCCCGACAAATGGTCCCGGATCACGGCCCGCAGATACGGGGGCACTCCGTGTTCACGGAGCGCCCCGCGTATCGCGTCCCAGCGGAGGGTGTTAAATGCGACGACAGCATCGAGCGTCGACCGGCCCTCGCGGAAAAACCCAACAACATAACCTAACCCAGACCTACACGAATTTAATCCATTAAATATGGCTAAGTATCATACATATACTATCTTGGGCTGACCATAAAGATAGTTCATTTTTGTATACGAGTAGCGTTGCAAAAATTACATATAAAAACTAATTTCATCGAATTCTGTTTAAAATTTACTTTAGAATTCTGATCCAAAATTTTCATAATCATAAAAAAAGGTTTCATTATTATTCTTATTAGTAAAAATTTCATATGTAATAAACGATCTGCGGCCGCTCCTTGCTTTGGCCACCGAGGTGCGGGGGCACTTTTTACACCCCTGCCAGGAACGACCATGAACTGAATACACGTATACATTACAATACACACGCATACATTATACTTTTATAGATATAGTTAATATTTAAACTTATTCATATAAACATTCTTTACAATATACATTTTATAAAAGTAATTTATCAAATAAAATTACATACTTCTCTCTCTGAATATGCACTTATAATTTCTATATAATTACTTATTTTTATTGCCTCCTCCTTTTCGTGATTTAATAAAACATTTTCTATTTCCTCATCACTACTACTGCTACTTTCTAATAATTCCATACGGAATAATTTCCGGTTAATTGCAAGCTTTCTTTTACCGTTAAATTCTATACGTAATATCTAATTATAGTACCTACACACGATTTCGTGCCAAATCTCGTGTCACCGAACTGCACTGCTAAAAATGTCAGTGCAATAAAATTCGCCCTCGTTTGGTTCATTTCGTTTAACCAAATGCGAATTTTGCATTGTACCAGGGCAGTTTTTGTTCGTCGAATACGATACGAAAGTTGCATGCTAATAGTGCAACACAACCGAATACGATTATTGCACTTTACTGAGGCAGAGAGTATCATCCAAATGTACGGCACCGAAAAAGTTGGCACTCATTGTCAGTGCGCACCATTTCATTCGTTATTAGAGCCAATGTATCGATCGTTTTTCGGCGATTAAACTCAATGGGGAAGATTCAAAAAGAAGACAGACGGATTCCACATCAACTAACCGATCAAGCTATTATGAATCGCCTACAAATTTGTTTATCCTTATTTGCAAAGCATAAAAGTAAAAGTTTTTTGTGGCGAATCGTAACGAGCGATGAGAAATGGATTTACTATGACAATCCGAAACGTAAAACATCGTGGGTAGACCCCGGACAGCCTGGTGTGTCAACGGCGCGACGAAACATTCATGTCAGCAAAATTCTTTTGTGTATTTGGTGGGACCAGGAAGGAGTACTCTATTATGAACTTTTACCTCCAAGTCAAACGGTTATAGCTTACAGCCGTTCGTTACAGTCGACAGTTGAAGCAATTAAACAGTACATTTATTTTATAGAAAAGCGGCCACAAATAGCCACAAATCGTCGTAAAGTTATCCTGCTCCATGATAATTCTAGATTCCATGTTGCTGCTGCCACTAAAAAAACATTATTAGAGTTAGGGTGGGAAATGCTGCTGCAATCAGCTTAATCACCCGACATTGCACCATCGGGTTTTTATTTATTCAGATCGATGCAACACGGCTTGTCCGGTACACGATTTGCTAATATCGAGGAAGTCCGAAAATGGGTGGATAATTTCATTGCCTCAAAAGACGTATTATTTTTTAGAAATAGGATCAGGCATTCACCTAAGAGGTGGCAAAAAGTTGTGAAAAGTAACGGCAGATATTTTGATTAAAACAAATATGTATGGCTTTTTTTATTTTAATTCAATAAATATGTTTAAAAATCCGACGAACTTTTGCAAACACCTAATATTTGAGACTTTCAAGCGTAACCGATAGTTACTTTCAAGTGTGTGTCTATTTGAAAGTAACTTGAACAATTTTTTGTATTCTACAATATCTATTGAATTTTCTTCATATATACTCATTAGATTAAAATTTATATAATTTTGTATTATTTAGCGCGAGCACTTTCACAGTACGAAACTTGCTCGAATTTCGGGAGTCACTGTCTGGTAAATAGTAACATTGTTATTATTTCTTAACTTTGCCTTTCATTGTAAGAAAACATCGATCGCAGCAATCGAATTCATTTTATTTCATTTCAAAGAAATTTGCATAAAAAGATTGATAATGGCGCAAGAATATGTTTACTGACATGAATTATCTCACGTGCGTGTAAAGCCGCGTCCCCTTTACCGTACTACACGAATTTGCGGCGGCATTTGCCAGTCGGCATGCACAGATTGGCTTGTTTAATATTTGTCCTGTGTCCGCATTCCATTGGATTTGTTTAAAAAATGCAAGTTTGCAATTTTTGCTTACCTTCGTGAAACTTGGGTGTAGGTACTTATGAATTTGTATCTCGGAAACTTTTCATCGTATTGAGTTCATTTTCCCTTTCCTTTACTTTGGAAGGATTTAGCTATTTGAATAATATTTTTGTTAAGGAGTTACATACGTTCCCAACTTCCACAACATCCAATTTTGTTCTCACTTAAATCAGATGTTGATAGCGTGTAGAATATTGGGCAAAAAGAATTAAAGCGATATCGCAATACTTTGAAAGAAGATATTTGTCATAATGTGAGAGCGTGCACGGTCAAAAAATCCGGCTGCGTCGAATACTAGGAAGTCTAGAATCACTAGAATCCATAGTATGCTGCTATAATGGCAGATTAACTGTAAATTGGAAACAAATGTTTTCTTTCAGTATTTTTCGTTTCTTTTAACTTCAAACGCGTTTTTCTCATAATCATATTTTTCAAATTTGTCAGTATGATAACTTCGGCAATTTTCAACATTTTTTCGTAAACTTTGCGTTGATTTACATAGAATGACATTCTCTAAGGAGAAATCGGGTCAAATTTAAAAATGTTTGATTTTTAATATTTTTCTTTACTATTTAAAGATCGAAATTTCAGACGAAAAATTGATTTGTTTTTTTCAAAATAGTATAACATCCTTATTTCCCACATATTCAAAATTTTGACCCGATGGCCCATTGCTACAACACCATTTTATAAGATCGTTGGTGAATTTTTATTGTTGTATGCTTTTTCATGGAAATATGCTGATAAGGAAGCCTCTTTTTCGTGCAGAGGTTGCTGTAGCCGCAGAGAATGGAGGCAAAATATGACAAAAGTGTATCAAAATACTTTTTTCGTAACAAATAAGGGTCCCAAAAATAAGATATAATTATTACATTTTTTATTTATTGTTAAGGATTTTATTGTAATACATCAGGTTCGTCACAATGCGACATACAGACTGGCGCGTGCTGCGAAAGGACAACACGCGAAACAAAGAGAAAAAGGATATACCAACTAAACAAAAGAATTCCGCTCGTATATAACCGCGTCGCTCAAAATATCTTTGCCATACCAACATTTATTTAATTCCTCTCCAGATAAAAATTTACAAAAATGATCAATTTGCGCGACGAGAACGTATGTAACTCCTTAATTGAAAAATCATTTTATAACATAGAAAATTAGAAATTAATTTTTCTTTTACGGGAATCAATTCTGATTCACATCCATAGGCTACGTTAGTAACACAAAGTCACACTGGATCGAGTTCGAAAGACCCTCGCCGATACAAATACTACATATACACCCACGAGCAAACTCGGCTTCCGTTAGGGGAAAAAGTGGCGTAAGAAAAGAGCTTCTTACCATTTAGCAAAATTTATTTCAGGTACTGAAAGAAATTTTAAACCGAATGTTAATTTGGCATAAATTTCAGTAATTGCCAAAACTAAATGGTAGGAGGCCCTTCGCCTACCTCACTTTTTCCCCCTAGCGGAAGCCGAGTTTGCTCGTTGGTGTACACATCGAACGGTTATGTCGTCTGGCAAATACCGAAGCAATGGAGACGCGGCTTAAGGTATAACGCACGTGACATCCAGGTGGAGACTGGTAATCGTTTATTCGAATAGCAAATAACTGCTCAAAATGTTTAGAAATAATAATTTCCGTATACATATAGAAATGATAGATAAAATGTTTTGTCTCCTAGAAGTATTGCAGACAATGTTGCAATTATCAAGTTGCAAATTTATAATAGTATGGCTATTAATATAAAGTAAGTATGTACTTCTGTTTATGTCAAATTTTACAAAATTACAGAAAATGGATAGTGAAAACTCGTTCGCCTCTCTGCTCGAAGATTCTTTCTCCGGCGACGAAAAGGTTGACGGCTCTGAGGACTATTCGACGAAGATAAAAATATCCTTTGTAATCATTTTTCTGGTAGACGCTGTTTATGCTGAACATAATATTAAAATTTTATCATTTTCTTAACGTTCTGATGTTTACGATGCTTTGGAAAGTTTATGCCAGAGGTTCGACGCAGAATTCTTGCAGCGGGCTTTGCAAGAATGCTTGTATTCTTGTCCAGACAAGTCACTGGACGAGAAAATCTTCAGGGAAACGCTTCCTACCGCGTATCACCATCTGTCCAAGGTAAATTCCAAAAAACTACTTTCATTTAAGGCTATAACGATCGATGACGCCTAAAACAGTGGCGTTATGTGAGTGCCACCTGGTACTTTTCGAATGTTCGAAGCTATTGAATTTCGTTTATATACGTAGGACAAATCATATATTATTAATTCTTGACAAATATAGACGGCCACTGGAGAAAATTACTCGCGAAACTGGCCAACCGTCATTGTGTTAATAAATAAAAAACTTTTTGTTATAAATGAAAATACAGTGAATCGCATTAATATTCGGACTTGGTGGTACTTGGAAATATATTGTTGTTTATCTGTACCAATCTTGAAAATAAGGGTTTCATTGTTTTTTGATAAGTTAATACCTATACATATTCTAGTTGCTAAAAACAAAATTGTTTGTCTAATTTATATAATTTTCTGTATACTAAGAGGTAAAGTAATGCAAGGAATGCCTAATTCTAACATCGCAAAAATATTCGGAGATCGCATATGTTCCGCAGTTTGGTCGTCCTGTCAAGGCAGTTAGTTTACGCAATAGCAGTGTTTGTGAACACAAGATGAAAGCACTAACTGGTAGAAACAATTTCACTTCAAAATTCACTCATTCCGCACGTATTAGTTGTGAAAATAGGACGTAAAGGAAAAATACGTCGTTCGATGCACGCCAACTCATTATTTATCATGGTGAAAAAGGAAAATTGTATCGGGAAATAGGTACATTACTGAATTTGAGTAAGTATACATATGTATAATCGTGCGGATAGAATTGAATCTGTACCTCAAAACGGTCGTCCAAAGTTATTTGATGTCCGTGACAAACGCAATATAATTAGAAAAAGTGAAAAAATTTCGTAGATTACTTGCCCCAAGATTGACGGCGGAATTGCTTGAATAGACCGGAAAGAAAGTTCTTTGTGACGCAGTTCGTCGAATGTTCAATAAAAGTGGATACAACGTTTTAAAGTTAAAGTTGAGTTTTTGTTTGAAAACTGATACGACGTAAAGTTAATAAAAAGTTCATACTAAAAATTTGAAATCAACCGCAGAACACGGTGAAGGAAGTGTGATGGTTTGTGGTTGTATTTCGGCTGTTGGAATGGACGAATTACCTTTCATCGACGGCATTTTAGATAAAAATGGATATTTAGATAGGTGTTCTAAAACAAAATTTAATAGAAAGTGCTATTAATATGAACATTTGTAACAGTTTTAAATTTTATCAGGATAATGATCCTAAACACAACAACTCATTTACAGTTCGAAAATATTTACTCTATAATTGTTCAAAGGTATTGTACTCTCATCCACAGTAACCGGATTTAAATTCGTTCGAAAATATATGGGATTACGTAGATCGTCGAATCAGAGCATCACCCATAAAGTCGAGAGGAGAATTAAAATTACAATTGATTTAAAATAGTCAGACATTCCATTAAAATACTTAAATAAAATTATTTCTAGTATACCCAAATATTTAAACTATGTAACTAAATAAAAGAGAAAACCAACTAAATATTAAAATTGAACTATTTTTGTTAAAGCATGTGTATATTTTTAATAAAAGCATTATGGTACATATGTAGAGTGTCCGAATATTTCTGCAACGTCAAAATTAGGCATTATTTCGTTTATCATTCGTTAACAAGTAAAGTGTATAAATTAAATAAGTAAATGTTATGTTTCAGGCAACTAAAATAAGTGTTCAACTTACTAAAAAACAACGAATACATTGATCCCATAAATAGTATGGATTTGTATAATTATGCGGGCCACTGTAAATATACAGGATAATATAGAAAATGGTCGTATTAATTAAATAAAAGGATAAAATATTAATTCAGTTGGTGGCCAACGATGTTGACAAACATGTTTAGTACGCTGTCTTTTCTTAATTCATATTCGTTTTCCCACAAGGCTCTAAAAGAAATTGGCGAAATGACAAATGCTGACGAAGATGCTTTGGACAATGTAAAGCGACAATTAGTTCTTTGTCACGAGTTATTAACTGCGTGGGAGAAGTCGATAGAACGAGCGTCGAAACTTAACAAAACATCTGCGGCCAATTTGAAATTTTTGTTCGAGAACACGCTTGATATGGTTAAATCGATTTTCGAACACTGTCGAGCAAGGTGAATTTCATTAATTGTTTATCGTTTGCAGAAGCTATTGAGCGTTAATTGGTTTTGTGCCATGTGAATCACGTGTAGTTCATCGTCAGTACACACCAATTATGTAATTCTATTCTTGAATTGAACGATGAATTGAAAAGTGATGTAACAAAGGGAATTTAAAAAGAATTTTACAGTTCAATAACTTTCCTGTAACTAAATATTGCGTTTGAATTCTCAGATACATTTTTAAAGTACCTACTGTTAGAAATTCCAATTAGTACACAACATGTTAATTGTTAGTCGTGTTTACGTATGACAATACTAATTGAGTCTTCCAGAACCCGGACTTCTTTATTACACATACATTTAATTTCATATTAAATGTTGTAGTTTACATTTTGTAGAGCCTACAACAGTTTTCTGTACTTCTTACTTCGTACACTTTATCTGTTTAGTTTCTGAGAAGTTCAATTAAGCCCATTACGCACTTAAGGAGGAATTACATATATGTAAAACCTTGAAAATCCCACCACTTCCTTCAATAGCCGACATTTTTAATACAAAATTTTTTTATAACTTTCACCGATAAATTTAAACTACTGAAAGTTTCATAATGATTTATTTAACAGTTTTCTTATAATAAATTCACAAAAATCAGATTATTTTCAGCGTGATATATATACAATTCCCCCCTTAATAATTTAAATAAATCAGAAATGAAAATCAAGAAATGTTGTTTAAAGACAGAATCTACAAGTTCAACACTATTATACATAAATGTAGTATTTTCAGTCTTTCTTATAATTTCCATGGGCGTAGCCAGGGGGGGGGGCACTTTCCCCAGGACGGAAAAGTGGCTTATGCCCCACCCTACAAGAAAAAAATTGGATTTTGCCCCCTCCCCTCCCTTCCCAGAATTACCAAATTTTTGAGTCATATTTAATATTTTGCAGTATAATTTCAAACACGGCCAACAGCCTCTATTAACAAAACGCATACATTTTCAACGATTTATAACTTTAAAAATAAAATAAAGTGTGTCTGGCTACGTACAGCCTTTTTCAATGTGGCAATCGGTGTGTTAATATTTTTGCCGCCCCCTAACTGATAACCTGCCTACGCCCATGATAATCTCCTTAATAATCCAATTTGACATAGGTCATGTTGTAAGACTTTCTGCCAATTTACTTTATCATTTTGTCAACTGGTGTTGCCTGCAAAACTCAAGTCAAATGCGGAAACAGATGGCTACTTATGATTTTGTAAACAACTTCTGTCATTCATTGCTGGCAATTTGCTCGAAACTTGTACACAACTGGTTATCAGGGTCTAACAACACATAAACAGTTACAAAATTATATTCTCAAGTGCGTACTTGGCTTAAGTCCCACTGTTTCAATTATTCTTGCAGTTCTTACCATTGCTGCTTACGAACCGCACTAGTACTATAATAGATTTTGCACGGGTGATTTTCTATTGGGCTCGATCCGGTTGGATTGATATCCTTTCGACGTGACAGTAGGTGAGAATTGTCTTTCCAGCACGAGATTGTACGGGACTTTGTTCGAGGGCGTATCGGAAAAATTAAGGAATCTCTTTCGCAAGGCGAAGACGATCTTGAATCTATTTCTGGCCACTTTGGAGAATGTAATCGATTTCGACACGGATACGGACACGGAAACGGAGCTGTTAGTGAATGGTGAGCTGATCCTATTACGTCTTAACGATACTTTAACCTGAGCCATTTTTATTCTTATCAAGTACGTCCAGTAGGAGAGGTAAAGGATATCGTTGTTACGTTAAGATAAATCTACACTCTTCCTTCCTAAATATTTAATACTCTTCGCTTCAGATCAATGATACGTCTCCTGTTAACGAACAATGTACGCTCTGTTACTTTGCTTACTTGGCAGATCTGTACTCTCTGTTTATTATGTAGGTCAGTGTAGGTGTATCAAAAAGCAAAGGTCGTTCTTAGTTCGACAATCTTCATTCATATAGAACAGTTGCTACATTGTGTGTTGCTCGAAAGCATGCTTCGAACTTATCGTTTTTCTGGCAGTAGAAGAATTCTTTATCGATAAACTAAAATAAAACATAACTTAAATATAACGGCCATTAATTTTCCATACACCTAAGACAATTATTACCTGTAAATTTCTGTATATTACTTTAATGTATGGGGTGTTCCGCAACATGTTAGACCCACTTTAGGAATTGACAGTAACATATAGATAATATGAAAAGTTCCTATAAACATGTTCCCTGTTTAACCGTTTTTCCTAAGTTACAGCCACTTTTGTACTTTAGCAGCATGTATATGTATACAGTGGGTGTCAAAAGTATTCGTACACCATTTAAAACGGAACAACTTTTTTAAAATTGGTCCAAATGACTTGAGTTCTTTTGTGAAATTAGAGAAATTAGTTTACTAAATAATGTGTAAAAAAGTTTGAAAAAGTTGCAATTGGTCCGAATCACGAAGAAAATAGTAAAGGTCGTTTTTTACAACTTTTTAATCTGAGGCTATTATGAAAATTTAAAAGGGGTGCATGGAACACATTATGCCCTAAATAAATATTTTAGATAGTATTGCATGAAAATATGCAGCAAAGATGACGGTACCAGAGGGGCGAAATATCTAGCTATTTCGACTATGAAAATTGCTGGCCAGAATTTTTTAACTGCCCACTGGAATACATATGTATTGGTAGCGAAAGGGTTAAGAATTACTGAAGTACAGAAATGACTAACAATATCAAATAGTGTTCTTACCCCTACTGAAGTAGGTCCACATGGAATAAAACATTATACATACAGGGTGGGGTAATAACTATGTCCACTTTGAATATTGCCGTTATTTGTAATAATATGAAAAAATGTTATATACAAAACTTACACGGTATACAGGAGGGCACATTCTTACACAAACATTTTCTGTGTGGGTGAAGGCATAGAGGAGATTTCAAGGTCATCTCTATTTTTTTAATGGAATGCTGTTTTCTTTATCGCGATGTCATAGACGACTTCAGCGAGCTATCATTGAAGGTCATGCAAGGTCAAGTGTGGTAGTAAAATAAACTTTCTTACATTACAGGAGATGCTCAAAGTGGTGATCGTTTGCGTCAATTCAAAGTTGCAATCTTCGTATCACTGCATCACGTGCATGTCTTATGGTTTCTAAACTTATTCTAGCACATGCTGTATTATTCCATAGGAGACTTTATTAGAAAATGTTCCACTAAACGTTCACCAAATGATGTGGTTACAACACGACGGGTGTTCAGCACATTATGCTTGGAGAGTAAGAGATGCACTGAACGAATTTTACATGAAGGATTAGTTTCTTGCCCACCTCGTTCTCCAGATTTAACCACATTAGATTTTTTTCTCTGGGGAACATTGAAAAATGCTGTTCATCGAGAAGTGCCCATTACACCAGAAAATATGAAACAACGGATAATTGCAGCATGTGCTAGACTAAGTTCAGAAACGATAAGACATGCACGTGATGCAGCGATACGAAGATTGCAACTTTGCATTGACGCAAACGGTCACCACTTCGAGCATCTCCTGTAATGTAAGAAAGTTTACTTTACTACCACATTTGACCTTGCATGGCCTTCAATGATAGCTCGCTGAAGTCGTCTCTACACCGGCTATCATATCGCGATAAAAAAAACATAGCATTCCATTAAAAAAAGTAGAGATGACCTTGAAATCTCCTCTATGCCTTCGCCCGTAGAAAATGTTTGTGTCACAATATGCCCTCCTCTATACCGTGTAAGTTTTGTATATAACATTTTTTCATATTATTGCAAATAACGGGAATATTGAGAGTGGACATAGTCATTGCCCCACCCGGTATATGTATACAGTAGCCGACAAAAAGTTACAATTTTTTTTATTTTTTTTATTTTTATTATTTTTTAACATCAACATAAAACCTTAATATACTTATACAGCTTTATACAGCTTTTAAGGGGGGAGACTCCGTGGGCCGTGAGCTGTGTGCGTACGCTCACACAAACGGGAACCATGTATGTATACGCGATGCACGAGAGAGACAATCAATTTCGTAAATTCCAACTTCTGTCTCAATAAATGCACAAATGAAGTTTTCGCAGCTATAGAACTCACGGATAGACTTCACTACAGGGTGGTGTGGTCTGTATAGACACCAATAAACACCATCTGTTGAAAGAATTAGAATTTTAAAAAGGGTGCGATTCTGACAGACACCGCTATAAATACACAAGATGGCTGCACAAGTGGAAGCTGCATTAATGGTTTTCTCATCAAAAGCAGACCAGACCACCTTGCACACCACTATCACACTATCGTAGAAATCCATTTTTTGTCAACTTATCGCTCCTGGAAGATAGAACTTGGAATTTACGATTCGACGCGTCCAGACTCAGGAATAAAGAGTGGTATAGTTCACGGATTCTCCGCTAGGGGTGCATATGGTATTTGTCAGCCATTTTGGCCATGTTACCACGAGCATCGATAAAACAGAGGGAGTCGGTAAATATAACCTCGCAACACGTGCCGGATCGTATCGAGAGTTTTCTTACGCTGTTGCCACATGTCCCCATTACAATTCTGCCTATCAGGAGAACGATGGAATATCTAAGGCTCGTGGCGAGATTTCGATTTTCGCCGAACGTAGGAAAAGAACGGCGGAACCGAAAAAGGTTCGAGAATGAAACAATACTTACGTACTAATGTAAGGGAAAGACCTCCTTCTCCTACCACTTGGTCTCAGAGTTATTGAAAATGATACGAAATTAACATTTGATTTAACATTTATTTCAGAATTTGAAATAAATTTATCAAGCAGTAGGAGACCCTAGTTAGTTAGTTAGTTAAGTACGTGCTTAGGAGACCCTAGTGATTAGTGATTAGTGGCACATAGTCACCCGGGGGAAAGGGATGTCGGTATCTCCCACCGACGTAGGAGACCCTAGTTTAGTTTAGTTTAGTTTAGTATGAGGTCTCCCGGGGGAGGGAAGTGCGACCCCCCCCCCCCAAGGCCCAGCTGTAACTCAGCGTCTGTAGCTATCTCATAGCCCCGCAATGGGACTACGGTGGGCGTTACCCGGGGATACTGTTTCCCGCGCCTTTCCAACCGTCCCAACTTTCTTAGGCCCGGGCCACATGGAGGTGGGGAAGTATTCGTGTGTGAGGCGGAGAGTCACTAGGATCATCCCATCCCTACCTAATATAATAGCTAAAGGAGTATGTACGTCAGGGCAATCAGTCCTTCGTCTCCTGAAGTGAGTACCAGCTCACTCTTTGCTTCACCCACAGACAGAGTCTATACAAAGGTGGTATCATCGTATGTACCGTCATCATTGAGGGAGAGCTGTATCGCCTATTTCAACCCCCTACCATTACCTGCCTATGTACCTGCCTATGAATAATTCAGGACACCCCCTCCTCTATTTACCCCCATCAATACTGCCACCCCCAAGGTCAAGGAGGGAGTCCCGAGACTCCGATAGCGATACATGGGGAGCCCGTTGTAGCCGACCTCAAGGAGAGACATGGTCGAGTTCGTCGATCACCTCCCATGGGAGCCGCGATGGACCATAAATGAATCCAACGCCATTGAGTTTAATCTGTCTACAGCAGGGTAATGATTTTAAGATAGTAAAGACGAAATAGAATAGATCGCGTTTGCCCCCCTCCCTAGTAATTTTCAAGGAACGCGACGCAGATGATAGCCCACCGGACTTCGCCGAAATTCCCCTTGGAGAGTGAATATCAGTTTCATCAGGGACTACCAACCACGTTCTGGGTTTCGACGACGTTCCCGTCCCTAGGATTGATGCCCTCTCTCTCAGATGTACCACGGATCGTTGCAGCGAATGCCAGTCGCCCTGTGATTCATCGCTGGTATGGTCCCGAATCACAGTTTTAACGGCACGTGCCCGTTAGAGCGCAGCCTTGTTTCAGCAGTTCCATGCTTTACGTTCAGTGCCACATCCTTACGGATTGCCTTCCGAAATACGTTTCTACAAAACTCATTGGGCAGAAATCTCGTAAAGAGATGCTCTTCATCCTTCCGAGACTCGGTTTACCAGTATACGTTTTGTTGTCCGGTATCGCATCCGGGCCCCCTTTTTACGCGATCGTTGTTCTAAACTGGTAGCATCATCGGGCCTCCGAAGAGTACCAACCCGAGTATAGCTCCCCCCCCCCTTCCCTCGGGCCCAGATGATCGATCCTGTCAATTGTCTGCTTGTCTCTTTTCCTGGTTGGAACTTTTGCGTGAACCTACCTGTGCGATGTGTGACCACGAGTCTTTGTTCGCTATTCCGTTAGCTATCCAGTGTCGGTATCCTTTGCCCACTGTACACTCGCATTTATAGGCATTTATATGTACGTTCGGTGTACGCACGCCTGTGCCAGTGTCAGCGATCGGAGTTCCAACTCTTTGTCTCATGTCCTAGGGACGAAGGGGAGTATATGTATCTGGTGGTCCGTCAATGGACGGGCACCTCTACCTCCTCCTTCACGGACGGTCCTCGAGTTCCGGGCCCTTACCACTCCCAGGCTACCTCCCGGAACCCACCCGGTCCATTGCCCCCCGCGGATCCTGTGTTCGCCACCGTGTTCGTGTCTCTCCGTGGAGGGTACTGGCTCGTTCGAGTTTTCCGTCGTCCTGGGGCCACGGCGGAGACTAAGAGGCGAAATGCGGCTGGAGTCGACAGGGTTCCCCATCTATCTTGCCTAATTTTTACCTTTGTTTCCTCCCGGCAACCCGTCTTACTCCCTGCAGCATGGTCCTTACTTTTCTCTTACCTTCCTGCAACTCTCCTTACATCTTACTCTTTATCTATTGTTGTTTACTCCTCCCTATGTTTTCCTTGAAATCTATCCAGAGTATTAACTTTTACTTAATTGCTAATCTTAACCTATTGTGTTGTTTAGGATTTCCCAAAGGCATGATACTTATGTCTAAGTTTCTTAATCTGATTTTGTTTTATTTTTTTATCAATTCCCTCCTTCACCCCTTTAGATGTATTCCCTTTTCCCTTTTTTCTTTTCCTTATTTATCCCACCTATCCCTCCCTATATCGTTATCTTATATTATTATGTGTTAATTTTGGGTCTTATTACAACCTTCACATAATATTTTTACGTTTATAAATTAACATATTTGAGAGATTAAGGGTTTCGTGTTTATTCATATAAGTATTCTTTCTTTTTTTGTATTCAATACAGTGATTGATACCATCGGATCTTTGGTGGCCATCACCGACGAATTGGATCTGAAGACGTTCGTTGAAACGTCCAGAATGTTCGGCAAATTAGCGATTACACATCAGGACATTGTAAAACGAGCGAAATCGACGTGCGTCACCGTGCATCTAGAACAAGTGACGAAAAATGTGACGTCTATGCTTTTGTCACTCCAGGTATGTTCTAACAGCTAACTGGTATATGTATAGCCATGGTATACTATACTAAAACATAGAAATTATTGTTAACGATGTCTGAATTGCAACCATGCTGTTGATAAGTAGTCATAACATTGTTTTCTTTCTGAAGCATTTGTTAACGTAATCTAACATGTTATCTGAAACGTGATCGCTGTACACATGCTACATCCGGAGATATGTACTTAACAGCATTTAATAGACTTTAACTAGACATGATATACAATAACGTGATTTTCCACCTTCGTAGCATAGCAAAAACGTAATTAAGTAGTCTACCTTATAAATATATAAATAACATAATCAACTTGAAAATATAATCGTAGATAAATCTACTTACAGCCTGTAAGTTACAGGTTGTTGAACACAACTCCTTCAATTTGTATATCCATTATAGTTTTCATTAGGAACAGGAAAATGTTGTTATTGTTAACATTTGTTTCATACATGTTCGGGCTATTTAATCCTAACAAAACCATGCAGCATGATCTGCATGATACATTTCCGTTCGTAAAAATCTCATCTGGGCTTGGGTTGTTGACGGAATCCTTATCGATAACCCTTAGGCCCGTTATACAGTCGAGCGGAGAGTCCGCGATGTGATTGCAATTAGTCTTATTTCTACATTGTAACTATTATATTATAGCCTGAATTGAAGTTCTTGTACGTAGTTTTGTTTTATTCAAGTATGACCGAAATAACGGTTAAAATTGTTGCTGTGTTTTATTATTGACACAAAAGGAAGAAAAAAGAAATTCGACTGACTGACATTGATACTGTTTGACACTGACAATGTTTGATTAACATTGATTGACTGACCACCTCCGTCATTACGCACTAGCTTAAGAAGGGCGAAAAGAAAAAGGAGAGATGGAGTAAAGCGAAAGACAGACGACCTAGGGGAAGAACCCGAAAATGCCGGAAAACTTGGAGAAAGTGTCGAGATGTTAAAAAGGAGAAATCAGCGTACAGCAAAGGACCGCACAAGCTGGTCGCCAAATGTGCACGGGCGCTAGTACTTCCCGACGCCCTAAGCAGGAAGTTAAAGTGGAAACAGAGAGAAAGAATCGACGTAGGAAAGCTGAACAAAGAAGGACCTTTAGGAAAACCTAAGGACCCTAGATGAAAGTGGATGTAAGAGGAAGAAGCCCGGGTCTCGCCCGAACCTGGTTACCAAATGTGCATGACAATAACCAGACTCGCACGAGACCGTGAGAAACGCTGAAGAGAAAAAATATACAGGAAATAGCGAAGCGAAACGAAAAACCAGAAAAGTGAAAGTTACAAAAAATCGAAACGAAACGTCTTAAAGCTGTCACAGCTCGAAGCAGTTTAAAAGGTGCTTTTGTGTCATTGTAAATAGTATGTAAGTACATATGTATACTGATTTACAAGAAAATGAAGAAATTTTATGTAACTATTTCCGTATATACACCCATGGCCCATGGTAACAGTTTTAATCCTCGACAGAATCCGTTCGACTGTTAAATGCTACATTTGTTTCCATAGAATCATGTGGCACTGATGCGGAAGGACCACGCGGATGGTTCCACCACGCGCCGACCTTCCTAATTAACTCTGTGCGCGGAACGTGGACGCTTCGCTCGACTCTCTAACGGGCCTTAGGCTGAACAATTCCAATATTTAATGAAAAAAATAATTGGAACAATAATTCACCATAAAACTAAGCGAATAATGAACTAGCAAATTGATTTATAGAAAGTCTATGTTAAACAAAGTAATCAAGATCCAAATCGATATTAATTTTAGAAGGAATTTTCACTAAAACTTCAATTTGCTTTTATGTGCCTCAATATATAAATATTACATTACACATCAATTTAGGACGCCCTTGACAGAGCGGACGAAAGAAAAATAAGAGTAATCGGTCATTCATTAAAAATTTTGGACAGATTATTCGCAGCCTATTGTCCTTGCATAAGCAACGAAACCCTTCCAGTTGTGATCGAACTTTTCTTACAAATGCATAGGTACTCCATTATTCTATACAATTTTTTTTATTGTTTTCTGTTTTTAGTATCTTACAATCTCTACATTGTTCTTTATATCTAGGTGTAATCCTTCGTGTTTGAAAAAATCAAAGATCAGCGATAAAGTAATCGAATTAATAAACGCTCACATTTCGAGAGGGTCTGAATCGTTTTTGAATACCATTTTAAAAAACTCTGGTTTCAAACAGGTACCTTTATAATAATATTATCTTCGATTCGATTTCACTAAAACAACAATTTCTCCGTTTCTTTTCTTAAAGATTCAACATTTATCTTAAAACATTTTAGGCATTCTTCGAATATGGGACTCAAACGATCTTTGATAACTTCGGTTATCACTTGCTAACAATCAGTATTATAAAACAATTAGTGAATGTTCCGTTTGAAGAGCAATGTAAGTGGGCACTGGGCGCAGAGTCAATTATCGATATCGCGTTAACAAGCATTAACAACAGTAAGTACTTCAACTTTGGATCATGTGCAATTGTTAATATTGTATTATGATATAAAAAGGCAGTAAGTGGTTCAGCAAATTTTAAAATTAAAAACTTATATTTTGTTTTACAATTTCACACACAAAAAAAAAATACAACTAGAGAAAAATATTTTAGATAAAAAAAATGGAAACATAAATATTTTTATATTTTTCTATATTGTATTAATCTAAAAGTATTAATTCTCACTGTTAAAAATATTTTTAATTTCGTCATATAATTAACCCTTTTAGTGCCAGGCGAAAAAGAGGTGCCTATGCGAAAATAACCGGCCGAATTTCGCGGTTTTACTAGGGTTTGGGAAAATGGTCATAAAAACCAAACAAGAAACAATATTTACATGATTCAAAAAGCAGTATATTAAGGACGAAATAGAGAACAAAACAATGACACTAGTTTTTCTATATTCATTGAAAATTATATAAATAGCAAAAGTATAAAAGATCATAAAGAAAGTAAAAGTCCAGTTCTCTCTTACAAAACGTATTTGCACATACAAAAAGTCATCTTTTCATCATAATTTTATATAGACCATTTATTACAAATTATATACTTTGTATTTCCGATATATTTTGTAACAAGATAAATAATATTACATAACAAACATAAAAAATAACTCGAAGGTACATGGTAAGCACCGGACGGATTATCTCTTCCGAAATACGTAATTGTTCTAGGTAATATAACATTGCTGAAACAAAATTATGTTGTCATAAATATATTTTTGATATAATCAGACTGTCACTGGGACAAAACGAAATATACTGCTCACGACAACGATCGAAGAAAAACTAACTGATCCTACGTCTTGCTGCGGCAATGCGATCTTATTTCGTGAGTCTTCAAACAGTTGTTTATAAAACGCTGTCGACATGTTCCGATAAGGGCCCAACGCCACGGCGATTCACGCCGCAGGTCGGATGTCGCCTGAGTGGCGACCGTCGGTGTTTATGTTAGATTTCCTTAGCTCCAAGCGATAGGAAAAAGTCGTCGTCCACAAAGAGTTAAAACGAAAAACTATTTTTTTTAATTCTCTCGTAATGAAATTAGACCATTTATAACGTATTATAAATTTATTTTGAGATAGAGTTCTCCCGCAATGCGAATAGTAAAGCGCTATAAGTCGCGGGCCGATATATCGGCTCTGGCACTTCTCGCCAGTGCAGCAAGAGCCGATATATATCGGCCTCCGGCACTAAAAGGGTTAATATATGATTATATAACTTGATAAATATAATTAAGAATATTGTGTTATTATACGTATGAAAAGTACAAGAAGAAATTTGCACGGGGAAAGTAAAATTACCAGGTGGCCATGACATAGGAGAAAGGCCACGATTGGCCACATTGTACGAAGCCACACTGGTACCAATTTGTGGCTTGATTAGTCATATTCCTGCGGATGGATTTTTCGCCGTCGAGTGGATCTTATTGAAACATTTGTTCAGTAATCAACTTTGGGGTGCTCTTCTCAGTTCGGACATTTGGTGTTTTGTAGGACGGTTTGTAAATTTTACAAATTCAACAGATAAAAAACTCATTACTCTGTCATCAGTATAAAAACTACTCGGAGAAAGTCTAATGAATTATATGTATATGAATACATTAGCAAATTGTTTTTCTTTAATTGTATCAATATTGTTATTAATTAATATACGTAACAAATAATGTACTAGCACAACCTATTGTATAATAAATACAAGGGGATAGATTTAATAACGAAAAAGGACGTAGTATACGTAAATGGGCAAAAAACAACACCTCAGTCACAATGAATAAAGTGTCTAGTCTTTTTTAATTTTACACACTACTAATTCTTTATTCTATTTTTTATACAACAGTCTATGCAAATATAAATCTATATAAATATCTACAGTTTGATTAGAATATGCATATATGTCAAAGTTACACATATTAGATTATTCCGTCAACTCGACACTTTTTTTGTTGCATTGAAAGATCATAATATGTATAACTTTTCAGAATAGGTTCTTCGGAGCTTTGCGTTAGCCACGTGAAATATTTATTGAAAGTTTACGCCGTTTTAATGAACCGGCACAGCAGTCTCGAAGTTGTTATTCTAGAGAGCTTAATAGGAAGGCTGTACAGCTTGCTTTCCGATGAGACAAAGCACTTCCTTATAACGGAGCTCGACGATCTCGAGAATCCATCATGGACTCCTGTCGCGCGGTTTTTGCCATCAAAAACGAAATCGTTGCTCGAAAAACGCTTGGCTTGTATATTGAATGAGATCCCCAAAACTTTTGTGGAACTGCAACGACAACCGACCGTGCAAAATTGGAATCGTATTGTAAGTTATATTTGACTGAAGATTATCGATGTTATAGTTCACTTCCAAATTTCTAATGGTCACTCTGTCTTTCGCTTTTATCCGTAAGACAATGCTCATGTGCTTAATTGGAAAGCTTAATTACACGGGTGAAAAAGATACAGTGGATGTCCTTTCGCAAATATGGAACTCTGTCGCGAGCACAATTGAGATTTTCGAGGGCAAACAATTAGATATACTTGCGGAATTCACGTGGAAATTGTTCAGCGCTACACAGCCTGAAAAAATTCAAGATGATACTTTCTATACGGTACGCACCTCTTTTTTACTGTATTTAACTCAATTTTTGGTTTGTTGTGTTCTAAGAACGTATCTAGTTTATTTTTATCACAGTCCATTCTCAAGTCTATTTTATTTTCAAAGAAAAACTATTGCATTTTTCACTTACAGTTATTTATTATCTCTGTTTAGGGTAGATGCACCAGTAAATGAACAACACGTACCAGTGAATGGACATTGTATATATATACAAAAACAAGTAAATTATATAAATATACATATATGTATAATAGCAAAACATTAAATATTCAACTTTTTCAATTCCTTATTTCATATTCAAGCAATTTTCGCTCCATTGGTTAGAAATCTTCATTTACAGGTGAATGTTCATTCACTGGTAAAATCTATATTTTTTCTTTTTAAATTAATTACTTACATTTTTCCAATTTCTCAAATGGAAATCTATACATTACAAAAGGATATAGGTATTAAAAAATTTAATTTTTATATGCTAAATATTTATAAATATCATTATGATTTAAAATTCGACGTTAATAGTTACAAAATCTCTTAAGGCATGTCCACACTTGTGCAACGCGCGTTGCAGAACACACTTGAAAGGGTCGATTTTAATGGCTCAACGCGCATCTACCGAGTACGTGCACCGTCAAGTCGAACACGAGCACTCTGACGACCCACGTAGAAAATCGTGTGGCGCGTGTAAATCGTTCAACGGGCCTCACTGTCCATGCTAGAGGGGCGATATCGCCGGAGCGGAGACGATTGTGTCACCCCCTCTTCCATCGACAGTGAAGGCCCGTTATTATGCCGATGGATTTACATCATTGATCTGTATATATGGATACGGGATGGGGGCTTCTAAGCATAGCATAGGTTGCTGCATTTTGACGGTACGTCATCTTTGAGAATAAACCACCTTCGCCGTCTAGATAGATTACCGCTAACTAATGCTTTCCATTCGCATGTATGCTTCTTCGTATAATTTGTAGAGTAATACAAAGTATGTACTTATTTATTGCATATAAAGAATATAAGGCGCAAACAGGCGTGAACGATAAGTCAGTCAGAAATTTAGATGAGATAAGTACTGATACAATATACTATAATATATGTATACATATATACTATGCGTATAGATAAGAATGTTAAAGAAAAAATAAATTTGTGGTACACATATTATAGATGATTTATTAATTAGTACAGTTTACAAACAACATGTATATTTTTAACGCATGCGCGTGAATAGGTACATATGTGAATAGATAGCGTTAGTTACCGTTAACCTATGTAGGCGGAGAAGGTGGTTTATTCTCAAAGATGGCGTACCTTCAAAATGCAGCAACCCAGGCTATGCTTAGAAGCCCCCATCCCGTGTCCATATACAGGGTGTCTCAAAAATGTCTCTCTTCCGGGAAATGAGGGGTTCCTGGGATGATTTGAAACTACTTTTACCTTAGCTAAAATGTTATCTGAGGCTTTGTTAACGAAATATTAACGAAATCCCCGACCAATCAGAGCGCGAGTTTTTCAGTCGAGTTCCCACGCTAGCGGTGGCTACGTGCTACGCTTGTATTATGAAGCTCCGAACAAACAAGTCGGCATGCATCTCAGGAAACCGCGTATAATAGCAAATAAGAAAAACGTAACAAATCGAACTTTTTATCATGTTTCGTTTATCATTTAAAGCGATGAATGAATGAAACATAAATGTAAGAAAATCATATGTGACGTAAAAAGACGAATACACAATTATTTTTTTAAACAGAATAAAAAATAATCATTATTTGAAAATAGAGACTAAGGAATTTGTAAATTTCCTTCTTAAATGACCTATTGAGGAAAAGGTAATGCAATAGTGATGGTAGTTCGTTATTGACATAAAAATCCGTAGTTCAGTAACGGGCAAAAATGATACGGATAATGAATAAGTCTCTTTAAAAAGCTCGAAGAAAAGGTAAAGGAACTTGCAGAAGTATGACCGGAAATAAGTCATAGTTTGCGTTAAGTTAAAAAAATAATAATCAGCAATAAATTGATTAGAACTCACGCTTTCGGAAATTCACCTGCAGTTTGCAAACATGTGTCACTAGGTCACTGGACCGATCCTGGTCATCGACGGCCGAAACGGTTTATGGCAGGGTATCGCCCAGTCCGCAAGTGATCGCAGGTATACCTCAGCAGCCGAAGGTAAGGGTTTTAACGTCAAGTGCGTCCGGGTTATTCCACCAAATATGTATTCACTTCACTGTACGATCACTAACACTGATCACCTGACACAATCACTTAATGTATTTTTAATTGAACGTGTTGTTTCTATGTTAGGAAAATTGGTGGCCCCGAAAAGAGGCGATTGTTTTCAATTTATCAGATGTTTCACGTAGCCAAACGCTTGCACAGCAGCAGCCGCATATCCGTTATTCTGTGCGTACCACCAGAACATTGCGTAATACTCCCATCGTTACATTGTGAGTTTACTCCCACCGCAGTAACAAAATATATGTAAAAAGAAACCAGCGTTCTAGGAAAATACGTGCTTTGCAGAAGTGCAACGTATGAACTGTCGTGCAGTTTCACCGAAACGCGGGCTCCGTTAATTTACTGCCAGGATACCCATTGCTTCGAGATAGAAAGCAGAAACTACGTTTTCCTCGAGGAGCAGGAAGAAAAATTTCATTGACACATGTTGAGTTGACGCTGCTGGACCCTGTCCGAGCACCTTAGCAGAGGTATAATTTATAAGAGAGATTATAATTTATAATTTACACAAATATAAAAAAATAATGTAATTACAGTTTATAATATAATTTATAATTAAATATTTATATTTTTTTTATTACTTTATGATGATTTACTTTTATGATTTCCTATCGATATTGTTTTTCACCTCATTGAAATTATCTGGAGTGGTTTCCTTGTATTTTATATTACTTCAACGCGTGTAATTAAACAGATAGTGTACTTTTACGATTTCTAGATATTTCTGTTACAGTATGCGTTGCTGGTTGATTCCTCAAATGGTTGAAATTCAGTCTGCAGGTATAAAAGTTCTCTGCGTCCTGTAGCGAAACGTCCGCTCTGGCCTCTGCTAAGGTGCTCGGACAGGGTCAAGCAGCGTCAACTCAACATGTGTTCATGAAATTTTTGTCCTGCTCCTCGAGGAAAACGTAGTTTCTGCTGTCTATCTCGAAGCAATGGGTATCCTGGCAGTAAATTAACGGAGTCCGCTTTCGGTGAAACTGCACGATGGTTCATTTGTTGCACTTCTGCAAAGCACGTGTTTTCCTAGAACGTTGGCTAGAACGGTGGGAATGAACTCACAATGTAACGATGGGAAACTACTTGGGGGTAGAGGAAGCCCTTTCGGAAAAATTCTGTCAGTCGGTTAGCAATCGGGCGACAGAGATGTTCAGTTCACGGGAGTATTACGCAATGTTCTGGTGGTACGTACAAAATAACGGATATGCGGCTGCTGATGTGCAAGTGTTTGGCTACGTGGAACATCTTATAAATTGAAAACAATCGACCCGTTTCGGGGCCGGCAATTTTCCTAACATAGGAACAACACGTTCAATTAAAAATACATTAAGTGATTGTGTCGGGTGATCAGTGTTAGCGCAGTGCAGTGAAGTGAATACATATTCGATGGATTAACCCGGCGGCACTTGACGTTGCAACTCTTAACGTCGGCTGGTGTCGCATACCTGCGATCACCTGCGGACTGGGCGATACCCTGCCATAAACCGTTTCGGCCGTCGATGACCAGTCGGTCAGGATCGGTACAGTGACCTACTGACACACAGGTCTACAAGCTGCAGGTGAATTTCCGAAAGGGTGAGCACTAATCAATTTATTGTTGATTATTATTTTTTTAATTTAACGCAAGCTATTACTTTTTCCCAGCAATAATTTTACAAGTTTCCGTACCTATATTTTCCTTTGGGCTTCTTAAGGGGGGAGACTCCGTGGCTCGTGTGCTATGTCCGTGCGCTCACACAACAACGGGAACCGTGTATGTATACGCAATGCACGAGAGAGACAATCGATTTCGTAAATTCCAACTTTTGTTTCAATAATTGCACAAATGAACTTTCCACGGATATAGAACTCACGGATAGACTTCATTACAGGGTGGTTTGGTCCGTATAAACACCAATAAACACGTAGAATTGAAAGAATTAGAATTTTAAAAAGTGTGCGATTGTGACAGACGCCGATGAAAACATACAAGATGGCTCCTCAAGTCACATTTTGTCAAATATCTCACGATTTAATGGTTTTCTCGTCAACAGCAGACCACCCTGCACACCACTATCACACTATTGTAGAAATCCGTTTTTTGTCAATTCATCACTCCTGGAAGACAGAAGTTTGTATTTACGATTCGACGCGTCCACACCCAGGAATAAACAGTGGTATAATTCAAGGATTCTCTGCTAGAGGCGTTTATGGTATTTGTCAGTCACTTCGGCCACAGACGAGATATAAGAATAGACCTAACATCCTATGGGACTTCGTGTCCTACGAAAATCACGCTGGTTCGAGCGCACCTCTCCATAAAAGTTTCCAATTTCAGGAACTACGTTCGAACTGTGATAACGCACAGCACACAGACACCCATGACTGTCAGTTTCGCTAGCAAGGAATGTAATACTCATATGGTACGGGGGCTTCTGACACCCCCGAAGCATGGGACAGAAAATTACATTGCATGTTAGGCCTATTCTTATATCTCGTCTGTACTTTGGCCATGTTACCACCGAGCATCGATAAAACAGAGGGAATCGGTATTATATGTAACCTCGCAACACGTGCTGGATCGTATCTCGATTGTTTTGTTACGATGTTGCCACATGAATACCTACGGCCTAGGCGTACGGCTCGTGGCGAGATTTCGATTCTCGCCGAACATAGGAAAAGAATGGCGCGACCGAAAGATATTCGAAAATAGAACAATACATACTTACGTATTAATGTGTGCAACGATAAACCTTTTCTATCCGTACTTGCAATGATGCTTATTTTTGTAATCAATGGAATTACGTACGAAATACTAGAAATGGTATTCCCGAGAAACAAATTGTAATAATGACGCAACATATATTCCGGATATTCTATATACAAAAAACAGAATACTATGCAAATCTGCTGTTTGAAATGGTATTTATTTATCTTTTATTGACATAAATGATACGGGTATTATAGGCGTACACAGTTGCATTTTCCCTACTTCGCTTTTTATGGAGAGGAAAATAAAAAAAAGGAAGTAGGTATCTGTTAAAAACGAACTGTTTTCTCATAAAATACCATTTAAGTTCGAACAAATCACATGGTGTAAAGTAACATATTCCTGTAAAAACCAATGAAAAAGCCATTAGACGCACTAACAATCAGCTATGTATAGTGAAAATATTTTATCTTGGTCTTGAGAGTTCTATAACAAATAGAAATATCTTCCCATGTTTTCGAAAATTAAAATTGACTGCAAAAAATGTCAATTTCAGGTACTGGAGGCAATGTTGACGTCGCTTTTGTGTTTTCCGTCGCACGTCAAGGTGATTGCATCCCATTATTTACGGAACAACATCGGTTCCTTCGATATTTGCGGCGTCAGGACCGCGAACGCCCTGTCGGAGTTAAATTGCCGGCTTTTGGAGGATGAAAATCCATGGGTGCGACAGGAAGCACTCGAGTCATTCGATCACGTCGCTCACATGTGTCCAAACGAGGATCTCGTTACCAAAATGGCCGCTGCGATCACGAAGAAACCGTCGCTGAGCGACTCTCTGCCGGCGTATTTGTCAGGCACGCCTTATTACGAGCTTCGTGACTTTTCAGACGCGCAGCTTTATCTGCAACACGTCGCCAGAATTTCGAAAAATGTCGGCCACGTTTGCTATCACTACGAAGAATCGCAAAGGGACGAGAAATTCGCTCGATTAGAAATCAAACTGAGTGGAAGCTCGACCGATGGTCAATCCACGAATGATCTTGACGAGCACGTGAATAAAATATGCGACGAACTAAATGACACTCTGAAGAGAATCGGTAACATCGGTGATGGTGCATTACGACGATTGCGACTGGTTTGCGCGAAGATCTTGGATACAACTGAATCGTCGAAATAAAACTGAATGATCTAATATTTTCTGCTACAGCATTATTTTGCAAGAAACTTTTACAAATCATACATGAATTATTTATATTTACTAGTAAATATAAGATCAAATGGTTAAAATGGAACGTGAAGTATTGTTATTGTAAAAAACACAAAAAGAAAACATATTGTTGTTCTTGATGTAGAAGCTAATGGAATAAAAGTAATGATTTTTGTACGTCGATGGTTTGTTGTATTAAATGAATTCGAATTCATCATTATTCTATGAATTGACCTGGAAATTCGTAGTTTGTTGTTAGTTAATAACGAAATATTTTTTTAATGAATTTCTACGCGAATAGTATAAATATGTCTATGCAAAATCCACTTGAGGTTAATTTTGATAATGTCTTAATGGCGGCTTAAAGCTCACTCTATTTGTCCATCCGTCTGTCTGTCCTACCTTTAAAAGGCTGTATCTTTTGAACCGTAAGGTTCAATCCGGATTAGGAATCTCGATTAGGAATCTGTGTTAGTAATCAGGATTATAAGTCAGGATAGAAATAATAATAAACACACAAGACTAAAAAGCAGAAAATAATCATTTAAATAAAAAAAATTTTTTAATGTACCACGTTTTTAAGACGGACTAAAAAGTATAAAATAATTTTTGCTAGCCCCATACAGATTCCTAACCCCATACAGATAGTCCTGAAAATTTGTGATTGTAAATTTTTAATAGGTATGAAAATACTTGTAAGATTTAAAACGAAAAACGTGGGGCGCATGCAATAGATAATTGATGCATGAATAGTTCACCCAAGTCACTAACAATTTTATTGCACTGCAAATGATATGAACTGTTGTGTGAGTTTTCTCAACGGCAGCTACTCTCCACACTCCTTACTATTATCTTGCGTCCCATGTTTTTCGGTTTGAATCTTACAAGTATTTTCATAGCTGTGTTACGTACGAAGAAACTCTCGTGACCTCTTAACCCTATCGGGAGATGGAATGCATCCGGCCAGACAATAAAAATGGTTCATATTACACAGAATGTATGTGTTTAACAATGTCCTTTATTTTATTTTATGTAGTTTCTGTTAAAAAGTTGTAAAACATGACCTTTAATATTTTCTTCGCAATTCGGACCAATTGCAACTTTTTCAAATTTTTTTTTCACATCATTTAGTAAATTAATGTCTCTAACTTCACAAAAAAACTCGTCATTTGGACCAATTTTAAAAGAGTTGTTCCGTTTTAAAGGGTGTACGAATACTTTTTACACCCACTGTATGTATAGGTTTCTTGGCATTTTCTTCGAGCACAACAATTGTTGACTTTCAAGCCTCAATTTGTTGCTAAATACTGCTGTTTACGAAAAAACAATATAGCAGTTTACTTTTATTCATTCTTAGGAACATACGGACAAAGTTTCATTCATTTTGAAAAAAAAATGAAATTTGGGGTTTTGGCCAGCTTTTCGGGTCAAATACTCCACTGTGCGACGATTGCTGCTGTCCCACAAATTCACTACCCATATGAAAGAAGTAGCGTTATGGGTATTTTATGCTTGTGTGTGTAAGACGAGCGTGTGACGTGTGTGTGACGTGCGTGTACGCCTGATACAAAGCATAGATTCATGGATTTTATACATTAAATATTTCCTTGAATTTTACCATCCAGTTGTAATTACGATACTCACGATAAGTAGACATGCATCTGTATACTTATAACTACAATCTTATCATCCACAATAAAAGAATGGTAAAACTCTGTACATAGTATACCTACATATGTATGTACTTATATATAAGCTCGCTTCAGTGCTGTTCACATGCTGAGCCACTCAGTGAGTAACTGCATGTCACTGATATGCAGTTGCAAGTTTGAAATCAAAGGATGCAGGTCGTTTAAGAACAGAACGAATAAAGTTTTCTTATATTTTTATGGTGGAGAAAGTGAACAAAATTCTGTGTTTGATATTGTAAAATAAGTGCCTTCTTAACAAATAAATTTATAAAGTGATAATATAAATATATGTTTGTCTTGAATAAGTGACACTTTGAATTTAATTTCTTTCTTTTTAAGTTTATACTCTGTACAATGTTTACAACATTATTAATTAATTTATGATTCATATAAAAATGAAAGTATGCAATTCGTAAATGAATAGCAATTTTTATACTTCTAATATCATTTTAATGTAATGAACCATACATCAGTAACATTATAATTTCTACATTTTTATTACAATTGATAAATAAATTAAATTAAAATAAACAATCAAAATGCAACACATGATAGACATAGAGTTTGAACGATGTTTTTCCAATGATCATGTAATGCATGTAATAAATAAAAACTTTATTGCACTTGATGATGTTGAAGTAAAAAGGAACAATAGTAATTTGACAGAGGTGTGTTCTCAAACAAAATTAATAGATATTATATCAGACTGAATTATATTACAAATTCTTTATATTATTTTTATACAATAAATGTAATAGGTAATCAGAACTTTAATGGAACAAATGAAATTAAAAGATGATTTATTTGCCAACGCATACAGAGAAATAATATTTTGTGGCAGTTTCTATAAAGAGACAAGAGTGGGCAAACCGAATGAATTTGATTTAAATATTATTTTACAGCTTCCTATTAATTATGGTAATATAAATGTAAGAATAATATTTATAATTTGTCATCGTAATGTGTAGCTTATTTTATGTTCATTCATTGATATAAATAATATTTCTTAGTTCCATTCTAACAAACCAGCATGTACAAAAATAAAAATAGAAGATTACTTGAATCCAATATCTACTTCACCAAAATATAATTTGTCAAATAAACAAAAAAAGTAAGAAGAATACACAAGTTTTTATACAAGAATATTATGTTTAAAAATGGTTAATGATTTTTTTGGCAAAGGTCCTTTAAATTAAACCAGAAAACAAATAAAAATATTGTATTTTCTAGAATATTGAAAAAGCTTATGGTTGATGACTATCTTGATCCAGATAAATTTCGTCAGTGGATTGAAGGAGTTTTGAGTAAAGTTATCACTGACTTGCCTAAAGTACAAGACAAGTATCAATTAGTAACACAAACTAATTTTAATACCTTTATGGTTAAAATAAAAAAGAGCGGTCCAGCATTTACACTAACAGTAACTATTTCTCCTACAAATGAAGACATATCCATTGATTTAGTTCCTGCATTGGCTTTTAAAAAATATGAAATTCATGGTTCTACTTTAAAATTACATGAAGTAAAAAACGTAGGTACACTTCATTATTGTATTTCTATATGAATCCTACTTCTTATATACATGTATTTAAAATCTGAATTTAGTATAGAAATAAAACATGGTATGCAATTCCATTACCTTTGAAGGATATTGATACTGATGACAGTAAAGGTCTTCATTGGAGAGTTTCTTTTTGTCATCAAGAAAGAGAAATTCTTGCACGACATGGTCGGGTGAAACCTGTTATACGCCTTCTGAAGGTTTTAAAAAAACTAATTATTCTATTAAATTTAATCACCATAAGATTTTCATGATGTTATTATGTTTATAGAAATTTCGAGATACGCAAAACTGGAAGAACATAGCAAGTTATTTCATCGAAACATTATTTTTAAATAAACTGACAGAGTTGAAGGAAATTTTAAATAAGATATCTTTAACCTTATTTTTCTTTGTGGTAATGTACCATAAAATAATATAAATCTGTTGCATACAGTTTGTTGTATAAATAATACTTTCAGATGTTAAAAGAAATGCAGCATGCTTTTCAGCAGCATAGAGTAGAATATTTTTGGGATGAAAACTACAATTTATTAGAAAAAATTAGAAAAGACGAAATGACCAATATAACTCATCGATTAAACAATATTATAAAGAACATTGAAAAGAACGCAATATCAAATTCACTTGTATTTGCTGCACATATTTGTAAGCTTATGTTTTTTTAGAACATATTAAAATAAAAATGTATACATATATCTTTTTACTGTTAAAAGTACGTTTAATTTTCTTTTTTTTTTAAATTACAGTGAATAAAGAGGAATTACAATTGTTACAGTTACGATTAAAAAGTAAGCTATAAACCAAATAAATATTGGTCATATGGATTGAAGTGTTAATTATCATATTAAGACATAATGTTGTACATATATATGTATGAAAAATTTGTTTAGATAAAAATATACAACATTATGAGAGCATACAATATACTGGAGATGTGCAAGATAGTGACAATAGACAATCTACCAACAATGGCAGATGCATTATATTATAATGCATAGAGGTTTTTATAACACTAAAGGACATTCATTGCTTAAGAGTTTTATAAAATTTTTTAACATATTTTCAACTTTGCATTCTCTAACATTTTCACATATTTTCAACAACAATAAAAGTATTTCTATACATGTATATATTTTCCTTGTACAATTTTTGATATGTATATAAAAATTATTCATGTACCATCTGGTAATTTCAATATATTTATATTATATATATACATATATATAATATAAATAAGAACCATATCATCTTACAGTGATGCCTACTAACAAAACTTACAAGACCCTACTTTTATTCCTTGACGTTTCGTTTTTATCAATATGTACTTTACATTTCTTAAAAAACTTTAATAATTGTCACACACATACTATGTATAAATATTTCGTAACCGTCGAAAATATACTAAACAAGACATTAATAAAAACTATATATAGAATACACTGCACGTGTTATTATAATTTGTGATTCATCAGAGGTACTGCATAACTGTCAGCCCATTCATTAAAAAAATTTCCTAACTCAATTGCACAACGTATCATAGAGAGGCAATCTCCTTCAGCACTATGTGCATTGTCAATGTCGGTACCAATAATATGTTTGTAGACACTAGATAATTTAAAATTACTTGGTTGATTACTTGTAAAGTTCAATCTTCTTTTTGTAATATTTTTTCTATTTTTAAACTTTGCATTAGAATTCTGGAACTTTATAATTTGATTTTCAGGTGTTTTTTCATTAATTTCTTGTATTTTTTTATAACAACTGGTTTGTGGAATATTTGGCACACTATTAGAGTAGAATTTACTTTTTCTATCTTCATTACCAAAAATTTTGTTTTCATTATTACTATTAAAACTGTTCCTTATGACATTATCTAATGCATCAGATAATATCTTATCACAACCATCATCTAGCAGAGTATTAATATCTTCGGTATTGAGCCGATTAGATGCATTCACTTGTGTAACATTTTCTTGTTTTAATGGATTTCCTTTAATTGAGAAGAAATCTTTAATTAGATTAAGCATGTCAATGCTAAGAATGTCTTCACTGACAACCTATAATAGAGAAACCATCTTATTTAGAAATATATGGAAATTACTAAACTATGATACAAAACTATAACTACCTTATTAATATTTTGAAGCTCCCATAAGAATATAGGATAATCAAACTTATTTCCATTGTAAGCTACAAAACAGGTGGGTGGTGTAAGTTGATTTATAAAATTTATGACTAAATTATATGTTTCGCACGTAAATGACTGAACTTCCTTTAACTTCTCATTAGACAAACCTGAATTAACATGATTATAACAATTAAGAAACAAAATAAGTATAAATTATTTATTATAAATAAATTCATTCAGAATACCTGTTAAATTTTCAACTTTTCTAGAAATATGTTCATTTGGAAATATTGACAGAACTAACTTATGTAAAACTCTTGGTAAGGCATCTTTAGTATCACATATTGCACTTCTTGATACGGCTACTAATGATAATTCTGTGATCTTTGGCATAGTTTTATTTTTAATTAATCCAGTTGTTTCCAAGTCGAAGAATATAAATGTATGTATCATTTTTAAGAATACTTGAGCACCTATTATGATCTAACAGTTAAAGAAAATTAATATTAAAAATATTACTGATTTTCATGAATGCATGTAAACATTAAATATTAGATGTTCAACCTTTAATAATATAAGATATAGGTAAAATGAGATATAATTCCAAAAGATAAGATGTTTAAGATTTTCAGTGCTTTTAATTGGTCATTTATAATTGTTAAATATGTGAAACACTCAATATCATAATTTGTTAAACATGTCCTTAAAAATGGTTTTTCGGCTTGCTTTTTGTTCATTTGTTACCAATACTTTTTACTTTTCAGTCTAAAAGAATTCTGGGTATGAGGTTAGTCTCTGGTAAGCGAGTAATCGATAGAAATATTTGAGCATATTTGAGATTAAAAATGATTTCCGACATATACAAAATTCAGATTTTTGTTAACTACGAATATAGTTATTGTATTACTCACAATTAACTAAACAGTATATAATGTACAATTCACCATAAATCGTAAAATTTGCGTATACTATTCATGCAGAACTCTGGCAATGAATCATCCCAAATAACCATTTGCGTGCAGATTGGCAGAAGATATTGGAAATCTGTCTACAAATCCGCAACCATCTGTTTCCGTATTTGGTCTAGGTTTTACAGGCAAAGTCAGACAAAGTCTGCCTGCCACATGGACCTACAGGACGGTGCATAAAATAGACTTTTCGACGCGGCGAGTGAAGCTCTCTGCGGGGAGACGGTAACAGACGGTACACCATTTCAGTCATATTGGCCCGCTAACAAAATTCTGCCACCTAGATCATGCTGCGGCAAATATGCTTTAAGTTAACTAAATAGGATAATAATTTTGTCTCTACGTGTTAAGTTTTATCATTAAGGATATGTTTCATAAAGTCACAAATATTTTTATAAATAATATATATATAAAAAACCAAGCATTTTTAGCGTACCTTACAGGTTAGTTTAACGTCATATACCAAATTCGTCCAATCAGTGGTGTCACAGTGTCACTGCTTGTAAGGAGATGCACGTGATGGCCGCCATTTTGGCGGGATAATTCAAATGTGCTTGCAAAAAGGAATTACTTATTCAAAGCGAAATACTGATTCTGAGTTGGTTAGAGTTAGTTAATAATAATCGTAGAAAGTCGTCTGTTGGTTCCAGGGCTTCCGCCCCTCCGCCAAACCCGCTCCCTGCCACCTGAACTAGATCAAACCTACTCAGAATCAGTATTTCGCTTTGAATAAGTGATTCCTTTTTACAAGCACATTTGAATTATCCCGCCAAAGTAGCTGCTGCCACGTGCATCTCCTTACAAGCAGTGACACCACTGATTGGACGAATTTGGTATAGAAGTCAATATGGCGTTAAACTAACCTGTAAAGTACGCCAAAAATGCTTGGTTTTACATACGCATAACTTTTGAACCGCTGAATTCCTAAACTTAAAACTTGCATTTTCAGATTCTACTCGTCGAATACTACCAGAAGATATAAAAAAAAGTTGAAGAGGTCGATAATTGTTGGTCCGGGGAAGTAAAGTTCAGCCAAATATTCGAAAAAATGAATAATAATTTAAACAAAATACTGTGGTAACTTTGACCACAAATGCATGTATTTGAAAATGCTAAATGATACATATCTGATTGAATACTAATATATGTTAATTTACATAAAATATGTTTATGATTTTCAGATTGCAAAAATTGAGATTCCAAATTGCCGTCATTTATTATGGCTTCCATTATTGCATACATATGAATAAATGAGCTTATCACTTCTTCAGTGGGAAAAGAAAGGCCCCCTCTTTGTAAGTGAACAAAATATACATTGCGTACAGTTTTATCTTTATCCTCCACAATTAATAATCAACATATATTGCAATTTAATTTTTTAGCAACAGAATGAGACCCATAACCAGATATGTACATTTTAATGGAATCATCTACAACACAATTGGACAAGCAATTGTATGCAACTGACGATTGGCTATATAACGAAAAAGCCATAATAATGGTGCAAGAGCTATATCTATTTTTTTTATTTTTTATTTGCCTTATTTGATCTATTACTATTTCAAGATTTTTGGTATAAGCAAATTCAATTGATTCTGCAATAATATATGCCTTATTAAGTTCTTTTAGAGATTTCTCAAGATGTTTTTCAATAAGACATATATTAGTGGTAGAATGTGGACTCTGTAATACTTTGTATCTACTTAATAAATTTTCAAGTTGAGACCACCTAGATAATTTCTTATCAATAGGCAGTACCCACTTTAAATCATTGAATGAAACTTCATTGCTTTCTTGAAAAACTTGTAATTTCACGTTCTCAGTAATCACAATCTGTGTATTTAGAATCAAAAAGTCAGAATTATCATTACATACAAGCATACAAAAATAAATTTTTGAATTTGTTATTTTAGTAGTCTAACAGTTTGAAAGTACAAGCTTTTCTTCATAATTATTTATTAAATCCGAGAAATTACTAATTAAATCTGAATTAGTAAATTGTTGGACTAAATTTTCATTGTTTTCAATGATTTCTTGATCTTGCTCTACAGGATTATAATAATCTAAACATTTGAAGAATTGGCGGGAAACGCATATACGATGCCGAAAGGTCTTTTACTTTTCTGCATATGAAAAGAAAGAACATATAATTGAAATAGTAATTTTAATAAGATAAGATAAAATATTAAGGTTCCTATGAACTTATCTTCTTTTTCTTGAATTATTCTGTAATTTCGCATCCTCACTTTTTAGTAGTAGTTTTGCAGCTAACGAAAGTAACGAAATACGATAGTCTTGCTTATGTATATATCTAAAAAGAAATGAATATATAAATATAATTATAATCATAATTGTAATAGTGTAAGATAAAATATAAATATTATTGTAAACTTATCTTTTTTCTGGATAGAAAAAAATCCATCGCTGGAAATGTAAGATATTACGCGGAAGAATTACACGCGGCGGAAGTACGACGAAAGAAATATACGCATAAGCAACTATAATAAAATTGTAATTATATAATAACTTCAAAATGGACCCCCTAATCCTGACATCTCTGACTACACTGTTCAACACGTAAAATACCTCACAACTGTTAATAAGCGTTTCTGATAAATCTTTATGAAGTGAATGCGAACCTGGGAACCGTTTTCTCACAGCACGTTCATTTTGAAGAGATCAAATTAAAAGAAAACTTAGAAATTTCATTTTTGAAGAAATGTGGTGCTTCTACAGTAATAGTTACTCAGTCGCTTTTGACACGAAATCTTGCTCACACGTTTAGGTTTCTGGATATCGCATCGGAAACGTGAATTTTTGGCGCTGTGAGAATTCAGATTCGACGAGGTTCTCCAAGGTTTGCTCATTGTTTACGTTGCCGAGTGACGTATCGAATATCAGCGGAAAAACCCGAATGGGCAGCGCACACAGCCAAGGCTGGGACAGCTTGTGTGTGCCAACACGGTGGACGTAAAGTGGGGGTACCCGGGATGGCATAGTGGGAGACGATGGTTGCTCCCCTGTGTGGCGGGGGACAGAATACGCCCACGGTAATCCCTGCCTGTCGTAAGAGGCGACTAAAAGGGACTGTTGGGACCGCGGGACTGTGGCACCCGCGGTTCGGTGGGGGGGGAGCTCCGCTTCCCCCACCACAGAGAGGGCGCTCCGCCGTCCACTGGCGGAGCGGGCGCTGGGG